GATCACATGGCCTTATACAGCCTGGGTTAATGAAATAAGATGAATCAGTGAGATGAAGTACGCAACGTTCCAATAACTATCTTAACAACACGGGCGCGCGCGCGCGCGCGCACACACACACACACACACACACACACACCCTTTTAAATCTTAGAGCCTTTCTTTTGGGGGATGGGAGGTGGTGGGTTGCCTTAAACTTTGTGAAGCACAGATTTTGCAGGGATATTAACCAATTAGAAGATTGGCAATTAAATTAGAATTTCATCGCATCTCCTCCTTTGAGGGAACTTTATTCTTGAGGGAGCCCACCTAACAATTTTATGTTCAGTCATCTGCAGAGAATAGAGTCAATGTGTTTTCCTTTCGGAACCTGGAGTAGAAGCTTTGTTTCACTGTAAGTTCTCTGTGACATTTTGCACTCTCCTGATTTAATGTACCAAAGAGGATCTTTAACTCTTGGTGTACACTAGTGCAAATAAAGGTTAAATCTCTCACTAACCATCATGAACTAGCCTAGTAAGTCACGAAAGGCTACGGAAAAAGCAGGTGTACAGACTTAATTAAAACGTGCAAAACCCGCACAACCGCAGGCAAAGATACTATATCTTCACATCTCCCTAGTACCGGCTGCAAGGTCCGCAATCAGAGGAACTTCTACTGCGCCAAAAACACGATCCAGCGAGCCAGGCCTAGTAACACAGGAGCTTTTCTTCGGAACAGCGTCCCAACCGGAGCTTGCGCTGAATGCCGGAGCTCCTATTGGCCACGCGCCGCGGGGGAGGAGGAGACTGGCGGGGAAAGAGACGGGAGGAGGGGAGAAGGGGGCAAGGCCTTTCCCTGCCCCCTCCTGGCCCCCTCCGCAGGCAGCCGCCTGCGCCTCGTGTGTGGTTACTATGCAAATTGCAGCGATTGCGGAAATAAACAAGGGCGTAGGGAGAGAAGAGAGGGACTGCGAATCCATTGCAACTTCTGCAAAGTCTCGTACAATCCAAAGCACACAAGGCAAAAGCAGAGAGAACCCGAGAACCAGCCAGCCCGGGTTGGATCGCTTTCAAAAGAGGAGAGAGAGAGACAGTGAGAGAGGCAGAGAGCGTGCATTGCAATTGCAAAAGCCTTCTGATTTGGAGTTAAAAAAAAAAATCTCCAAGAAGCCTGCAATTGGCCAACAGCTTTTAAAAAAACCTCTTCCGGGTTTTCAACGGTTCCAAGTTTATTTAGATTTCTTTTAATGCAAAAAAAAGGACACAACAAATGAAGCAATTCGTCTGAACATTTTAAAGTTTCTCACGTACTCTTTTTACATTGCAATGGTACGTGGTACATCTTAAACTTTCTATTTTGCGTTTATACGGATATGCGTTTTATAAACAACAATAATGATAGAATGATTTTAATGGCTAAGAGTTTAAAATTTCTCTAGCTAGCATATGCATTTAAGGGATTGCTGGGTAAATGTCTATTGTGGTGGTTTTGTTTTAAAAGATGTAGATTTGTAAATGGCTTTATTTTTCCTGTGTGCATCAGAGACCGGGTTTCTTTTCTTTTCTTTTTTTTTCCCTGAGATTTGAAAAAATTGCTGAGCTTGACAGATTTTTTTTCCTACTAGCGCTTGCTCGGTTCCAGAAAGGGGGGGGAAATCCTGTACGTGCTCTGTTCTGTAAAAAGACGTCTGGCCTCAGCAGTCAACCTAACCCGAAAAGAAATGTCTGGACCTGGAGAATAATTGACGATTCGATCCTCTAATCAATGGGACAATATGGGAGATTGACAAAAGCTTTATCCAATCATGAGGAAGCTTGGGTGTACAATGGTTCGCAATAGCCAGAGGGGGCGGGGCAGAAAAGATCTGAAGTTCTCTGCGGCTTTGAAGGGGATGGTGTGGTTCAAGCTGTCAAAGCTACGAGCTTCTTCCGGATTTAGCAGGCACAATAGGATAGAGTTTTCAGGTTTAAGGGGAAAAAAGCTGATTGGGGGATTTTTGCATGAATCTTATGCTTTCTTCACGGTCTTTTTGGAAAAGTTATAAAAATTCTGCTAGAGAAATATTTAACTTTGCATTAATTATTATTTTTTAAATTCAGAGAAGTTGTTAACTGTTGTGGAAGGTGAGGTTCAACTTTAAAAAATGTGTGACTTAAAAACTTCCCTAAACTATGGGACTGTAGTGAGCTTTGGGAAGTAGTATATTGCATACTCAGCATTAGAAATCTTCTCGCTCTGATTATCTTAGAAGCTTCGGCTTTTTGAGTACTTGGGAGGTATAGGCAAAACTGTCTTGAACTCTTAACAACAGTTTTAAAAGTGAGAACGTTCCACAAGCTGACTGACAGCTGTTTTTTTACATTTGAAAGGTAGAGGGAGAAAAGTTGTTCTTTTCTTGAGGGTTGTTTTTTTTTTTTAATTCTTCTGTTTAAGTATATGGTCAGTAGCAAATGGGATACTAAGACTGGCCTAGTTCACATTTCTTATTGTTACTACAACAACCCCTGTGGAGGTTATGTGCGGAAGATTGCTGACTGGCTAGTTTTTAGATGGAATCTGGCCTCTTGGACAAGTCTTTGACACCAATCCAGTGGAAACCAACTGCAGTAGCTTATCTTGGAGACAGTAACTGGCAGCCTCTGACTAAAATATATCCATCTCTTCCTTCCCCCTGAGCAGTGTAGACACCTAATTCTGTTGGGAAGTGAGTGAAAAATAATCTAGGCTCTTTCCCATCTTTGTATTAAATTCCCATTGAACAATTTTCCAAGGCTTTAGGCCTTCTAATCAACTCTGGTTTGGAAATTTGATGTAAGAATCCACTTGGATGCTCAGTTCAGCAACATGGTTCACTTTAGAAATATAAACATTTAAGAGAAATTGGCACACAAATGACCAGCAGGTTAAAAAACTAGAGAAGAAAAACGTTTGAAAATGCTAGTGATAAAATTAGTCCCAGTAAGAACTACAGTTAATGACATTGTCACTTAATGAACCCCAGTTTTACTGTTTGGGGCATTAAAATCTAAATCATATTAATAAGATCTTCCTATAAAGTAACCTCTAAAATGAGAAGTATTCGAGATGTACATGTGAGTGAAACCTTATTGACGTAATTTATATATCTAAGAGGATTTCACTAAAACTGGCAAGGTAACATTTCTGCAAATAAAACGCAGTAAATGCAAGGCTGGGCTCTGTGCCAGGAAGAATATGGATAGCCAAGAGCACGACAGGAGCCTCCCTTGCGCAGAGACAATCCCATTTCAAGGCAGTCTCCCAACACTTGCAAAATAAATGATTGGAGTGGTTATTTCCAATAAGGGGTTTATCCTTCCTAACAATGGATCATTTATATAATTGCAGTAAACTAGTTTTCCTACTTTACCTGTTTCCTATACTGTTCTCTCTACTATCTTTTCCTTCTGTCTTTCTTCTATCCCCCCCCCCCTTAGTATCTTTGTGAACTCTGCACAAGGATTTACTTTTGCAACTTGGGAAGAGGGGAGAGAGTTGGAAATGTTTTTTACCCCCAGTCTGCCCTTTCAGAAACATCTGCTTCTTTGTGTGTGTATTTAAATTTATGCCTGTTGGAGAGAAAGTTACCAGAAGCCTTTTTGTAACTGTAACTCTTCTACTGTATTTTTCTCAGTCGTATTTCCAAAGGCTGTAGTTGGAACTGTGCTTTGTAGTGTTTCCCCCGCCTCCTCTCACCCCCCCAGCGCCCCCGACACCGCCCGGGCCTCGCCTCTCTGGCAGGGGAGGGAGCGGGAGCTGGCGGAGATAGGAGAGAAAGCAGGAGCGGATGTGAAGGGCTTTGGTGCTGAACTTGGATCCAGCCCTTGCCTAGAGGGCGCAAACAATCGTCCCACATCCAAAAGTCTTACGAAGGGCGCCAAAAGTTACTTAAGATAATATTGCTAACCGCAGAAAGCTGGAAATCGCGGGCACAACCGCGATTCAACAAAAGAAGTTTTTAAAGTAGAAATATCAGCATTAAATTACTTTTCCCCATTTTTTTTTTTCAGCCAGGGAGACGTGCCAGTCCTTTTTTCTTTTTAAAACATTTTTTTTCTTTTTCTTTCTTTCTCTTTTTTTTTTTCTTGAGATTCAATTAAAAGAACAATCTCTGCTATTTTGGATTGAGACAGATGTGAAGTCTATCTTTTAATACACAAAAAGAAAGATTTTAATCTGCTCTGGAAGACAGCTTCCCAGAGTACACACTTGAACAATAACTTCTCATTGTGCCTCAGTTACATGTTGGGACCGTCAGCCAGAAACTTCTATCGAGGAAACTTGGAGCGTGTTGAAGTTATAGATCCCAGCAAAGGTTTTCGTGGCCAGGGATTTGTCTCTGTAAGTCAGCTTAGCTTTTAGGATATTTTTCCCCTACTGAAATCCAAGAGGAACCAAGGAAAAGCAGTTGTTTAGTTTGAAAAAAAATGGGACCCTCTCATTAAAGGTTTAAGTCATTCTTTCCCTTCACTCCTTAATAAATTATCTGAGAGATATCCAAGGGCATTTAGAATCTGGGAGTGTGAAAATGGTCTCTTGAGCATTCAGGAATTGTTTTAGCAATAAAGTAACTGGAGAACAAACATAAAATAACTTCAGACAGATGCAGAATATTTCAGGGGATTTTATTTTGCTTTCCCCAGTACCATATTTGTCTCCCCTTATTTAAAAAAGAAGGGTGTGTTTCTGAATGAGTGTGACCTTTAACACCTCACCTGACCCTCACCTGCAGAGTGGGCATTACTACAGGAATTCCCTCTTTTCAGAGGCTATCTAAGCTATGTAACCTCTACCAAGGTGTATATTACCCTGTCTGTGTGCCAGTGTCTTTCAACATGATACACTCGTCTTTCCTTTTGGAATTTTGAGGATTTGCAGCAGGCTGCAAACTAGAGTGCGGGAGATGAGGGGAAGAGATGGGATGGGGGTTTGGATGAAGGAGGTATAGTCCACACCCCCCGCCCCCCCCCCCCCAGCAGGGAGGAGAGCCTAGAGAGAAAATACGAGGTTTAAAAAAAAAAAAAAAACTGGAAAAGCAGGCTTATTGGCAACTGGCCAAACCCTAAAAACCACCCCCCTTTTCTGCCAAAACAATACTTTAGCAAACCTAAAATAATTGCAGGAAGCTCTTTTCCATTTTAAGAACTATTACCTGGGGGAGGGAAAAAGAGGGGATTCTTAAAAGGCACCCTTCCAGAGGTGTCCCAGGCCCAGGGACGGCGATGATAGACTGTGTCCAGTTCTGGGCAGGCGGTGGTGGACCAGAATGTCTCTCCTTCCGAGGGGGCATCCCTTTAACAATTTTTTTTCCTAAAAAGAAAAAGATGTCACAGCTCAACCACTGTTGTTTCTGAACGTGCTAGAACTTTTTCTATGGCGTCTGTGTTCAAACCCACTAGTTTTCACAGTCCGGGGAGGGAACACGCTCATTTAATCTCCGCCTCCCTTTCTCCAGATAACCCCCACCCCCCAAATCCGGTGAATCTTGTGTGTGAAAATTTTCTCCACCACCCCCGCTCCTGAATGCCGTAGGATTGAAGCTGCACAAAGTTTGCAGGATTTTGTGCATAATTTACCTCTGCCGACGATCTATTCCATTCCCACAGAAAGCTTCGCTGGGGAGATTACAATGCTTTTGAGCTGTACCGCATTTTAGAGGGAAAGAAAAAGTTACCTAGGAGGTCCGATTTTTAAAAATTTGCATACATGCAAATCGTCCCGCTGGCCTTGTCCCAGGTTCTCTCCTTGTCCACGCCGCGAACCTGGGGGTACCGGGCCACCTGGCAAAGTTGCCCAAGTCCTCCCCCGAGGTCCGCGAAGGTCTGCGGCGGGAGTTGGGGGATGGGGATGAGGAAAAGTAGTTTTGTTTGCTTAAGCACATCCTGTGGCAGCCTATAGCTGCCCGGGAGGACAGACTGTAACTGCTTCTCACTGCGTTACCCAGTAATGCGCTGAGCGGGGACGGAGGGGGGGGCGTGGGGGGGCCGTGGGACGCGAGAGCCAGCGAGCCAAGGAGCGGGAGAGGGAGCGAGCTAGCGAGCGCGAGCGGCCGTGGAGCCTCGGACCGGGCTGGCCGCGCGGCGCCGCAGCCGCCCCCTCCCCCACGCACCCCCCCCCCCCGCCCCCGGCGGCGCGAGCGGGCGGCGGCAGTGCGGTGCGGTGCAGAGCGGAGGTTGAGGCGGCGCGCGGGCAGCTCGCGGCACCCGGCCGGGCGGGCGCGGGGGCGGGAAAGGGTGCGCTATGCCTTTAACGCCCGCGTACAGTAGGCATGTATAGTGGAGTGTAGGGAAACTCTAGGCGGGGTTAAAGTTCAGCCCATGGAGCGGCAATAGCGCTGGCTGGCTGCAGTTGAGCCGACTTGGAAATGTGAACGCAAGAAGCAGGCTTGATTTTTTTTCTTCCCCCTTCTCTCTCTCTTTCCTCCTCTCTCCCTCTTTCTCCTTTCTCACCCGCACTCACGCACACCTCCAAACCGCACACCCAGACGCACACGCACACCCCAGCGCCCGGCAGTTATGTATTCTCCGCTCTGTCTCACCCAGGTAAGCAGCTGCTTGGATGCGGAGGGGCTGGGGGGCTGGGCTGGCGGGGGCCGAGCAGGGGCCGGGCAGGGGGTGCCGGGGACCGTCGCGCCGGCTGGGCCCGGGGCATGTGTCTTGGTGTGTGCTCGTGTCTGCGTGTGTGCGCGCGTGTGTGCTTGTGTTGGGGGGGGCGGAATACAGCTTTAAGAAAGTAACTTTGTTTCCATGCGGGTGCATTCCTCTTGCACGCCATTTGTGTGGGCACATGGCTAATGGCGCCCTCTTATTAATGCGTTAATTAATATCGGGGCGATGGACTGCGGAACGGCGCTGTTTTCGGACGCCCCGCACGTGTTTCAGCGGGTTGCAGCCCATGACACACTGAAATCTAGACTCAGCGTTTCTGCAGCGGGGAGGCCGGGTCTCGCAGTTCCGCTGCTCCCACCGCACACCCCGCACGCTCCGACAACTAGAACCTCGGGTGCGGGAGAACTCGGGTCCCCGCGCCCACGGCCCGCTTCCAGAGCCCGCGCCGCAGTAGCCGCCCCAAACTCTTACTTTTGTTTATTGTTTGTCAGCCTTTGCGGTCCGGCCGCGAGACCGACGCGGGCCGGCGTCCCTGTCCCCGGCCCCGGCCGGGACAGCGCCCCTCGGACGCGTGCGGGCGGCGGCGAGCCGGCCCCTGGGCTCCACGGAGCAGGGCTGCGTGGACGCGCGTCCCCAGCGCCATCCGGGTGGAGCCTGCTCCTGGTCGCTCGTGTCCCGTTCGCTTCCCCGAGTGAAAGTTTCGGTGCCGGGACGAGCCCACGCTGCGCAGAGCCGTGGAGGCCGCGGGCCGGGAAGCGCCGGGCGGAGTTGGGCCCCCGGCCCCGAGCCCGAGCCGCTGCCCGGACCGGACGCGGCTCCCCCCGCCGCCACCTCCTGCCACTGCCACTGCCACTGCCACTGCCGCCGCCGCACGACTCGGGACGCTCCGCGCGCAGGACAGGGGCAACTTTTCCCTCCGACTCAACTCGGAGCGTGGGTCTCTGTCGCCCCAGCGCCCCTCCTTTTCCATGCCCTCCCTTCCCATCCCTTTCTTGTATGCACCACCCCTAGGCAAAATATTGCTACTTCATGGCTCCCAAACTAGTCCCTTTTGAATATATTATTTATTTTCTCTTGATTAAAATACATGAAGTCAAAGTGATTTTGCGCTGAAAAATAAAAATAAAAAAAGAGTGAGCCTTCATACTGTTTTGGTACGTTGCGATCTGACCATTAATCATCCACATGAAGTTGAATGCTTCATCTAAAATGTTTATTCACCACTCTTAAAAAAAAAAAAACAACAAACCCTGCTACCACATATTGCCTTCATTTAGCAGTAGATAACGGTTTAACCGGAATACTTTCTGGAAGGCTAAAAAGCATCAATAGTTTTTTTTTCTCTCGCTCCTTTCTAGATTCTGGATTTATTTCCCACATGACATCCTTTCGTATTTCAGTATCTAACAGTAAAAGTGCCGGTTATTTGATCTTCGAAGACTGTTAAATGCACCTTTAGGTTGAAATGGTCTGTCTGGGATTTAGGCCTAGCATTAATAATGGATAGCAGTTGCTTTTAGTTATTGTAAAAGTTTTTTATTTTTCTCCAACAAACTTTCAAAGTTCCTATTTTAGTAACTTGTGGAAGTATGGAATGAAACTTTTCCAGCCACTCTGGCAAGGTTCACAATTGCATATGGATAAGATGCAAAGTGCAAGATCATTTGAATGAGTTAGGACTACAGTGAAAATGCTGAGATTCTAAGACTGAAGTTCTAACTAGCAAAAGTTTGCAACACATAGAGTTTGTAGATAATACCAGTGTGCTGCAGTAGTAGGATACATTAGCGTCTTCTCAAGTGAGCTCTCAAAAAGATACATTCATATTTTGGGATGGTGCACATAGGAGGATACCTGTGTATCCATGCAGGCCCTGGGGATAGTGTTAGGCATTTATATAAAAGTTGGGTTCTCTTGGTTTGTGAGTTATTATCACATTAAGAAAGTTTTTTTTAAAAAATCACATTTGGCAGTGTGATTGATACATTCACTAGGCCTTCTGGAAACACCAGTAAGAGAAACGCTTACTTAGTGTAACAGTTTGTGAAGAAAATGTACACTAAATAGCAAATGAGGGCCATATATTTTATGATTTATTCTTTTAAAAATTGATTTACAATTTATTTAACTTGCTGGAATATTTATAGAGCTTTAGAGCCAGTTTTTAAAAAGGAAAACTTAGGTGGCTTATTCGTCATTAAATTCCAGTAAGCATCGTGATTAAAATACTCTAAATGAAAGAATAAACTCTAAATTTTTGTGTGCATTTTTTTAAAACTTTGCCAGAAAAAAAATGTAGTACATCTTATTTTAATATCTAGGCCTATCGTAACCAAATCATATACCTGGCCACAGAATGATAATGGAATAGAAATGTATAGGTGAACCTTTGAGAAGTAGTCCCAGAAATACCAGCCTTCAGTGGTTCTTAAACTTGCCTTACTTACAAACTGATCAATATTTAAGGTGCTGCCTCAAAGTCATACCGCTTTTGAAACAGGTTTTTAGGTTTGTTTTTATTGGTGGCCTGTAACTTTCTCACCAAGTACATATTTAAAACATTCTTTGTTTTCTTTTGGATATTTTGAATTCATACATACCTTGTGGCTGTATGTGCAACAACATGATTTGTAAAGGCATACTGTTTTGTTAAAACCGGTGTATGCTACACCTGGACATTTCTTACAAGTTAATGGTAACCTTTAGTTCTGACATTCTGAAATATTTCTAATTATGAGCTGAGAAAGATGACTAGCACTTTAATTGTGCATGTGAGCAAAGTTGTACAAAATATTGTGCACTTTTATTGGCACATTCTTGAAATCTTTGGGGAATATAAGATGTAAATACTTTGGATGCAAAATTGGGGACTTAGATGATTCTTAATGATTAGTTGACATAGTTGGCCTCATTTAAGTACTTTTATGATGAGATATATGGGCATTTGGTTGGCAGGTAAACAAAATCCTCTTGAACACGAATGAATGCAGTTCACAGTTAATCTGAGAAGCGTGTTGGGAGTATCTGTGAACATTTAAATGCTATATTAGAATACTTATTTAAAATGTTTATTATTAATACAGTTTTTAATAAGATAACTTTTTAAGATAAATATGAATTGCTTGGAGCTATGTTATTCTTTGCATTATAATATGGGGCCAAGACTTTAAAAATAAATTCTCCTTTTGGTGGAAGCTCACTTTGTTGTTAAGGTAGACTCCAGTAGTTCTTTGCATAATGTCACTACAGCTTTGGTCTCTAGCATGTCCTGTGTATATAATAAAATCAGTCAATGTGAAGGACTGTTTTAGACCCCAAATTTTAGAGCATTCCAAGGATGAGCTCAATACTTAGCAATGTTTAAATGCTTTGCGATGTGGTGTGTACCTTATTAGATAAACTGTGACTTGAAAATTGCCCCCCCAACCCCATTTGTCCCTTCTATGGTATGGCGATAAGAAAGATGCTCAAACATCAGAAATTTTAAAATGCTATTTTTTTGTAAAGAATAACGTATTTCTTTATTTTTCTCTGTTCCCTCTTAAAGAATGCTCACATGTTATAAAGCTGACTTCTTCTTGGATTCTTTTATGAGAAAGAGTAGTTTGCAAGCTAAACTTGAAATACAGAGCCTGAAATTTGTTCAGAGGAGAAAAAAATAAATGTCACTTATTGAAATGATTTATTATATATTGTATTAGTATATACTTAAAAAACAATGATATGGAATGTTTAGATGATTGACTATAATTTATAATATTTTAACAGACTCTATTGTTAAAATAGTTTACCGATTTTAACCACTCAGTTTACATTTGAACATTTAAAAATTTAATAATTGCTTTAATAGTAATAATGTTTTGGACACTGCTGTTACTTTTACTTCCAAAGTATATATTTAAATGGATAGTATGAACTGAAAAAGAATGAATTTTATAATAGTTGTCCATCTTGTATCCATTTAAAAAGTCATCGAGTATCTCTTTGATTTTTTTATCTTAATTTATTTGAAAGTAAATAATTTATCTTTTGGGGGGTTGTGCGGCAGAGAGAAGTTATGTAAGATTAGTCTGGGCTGGTTAATCAAAAGTTAGATGTACTCAGAAAGCTTTGTGGAGGTTACTGTTTAATTTTTCTTCAATTTTATTTTTATATTTACTAAGAAAATGTCAAGTAAAAGATTCAAACATCTTCAATAAAAGAGTAAGAAAATTTAAATATTTTAAATTCAATTTTATTTTCAAATGACTTGAATTTTAAAAGGCATCTATGAGGATTTTCCTGGAGTCTCGTAAACATTTAATATACCAGATTCTCTCTCTTTCTCTCTCTTTTTTTGCCCTGCAAGAAAAAGCCTGAAATATTATTTTCAAAAGTTAATTATTCTGTGTTTTAGGGATGATCATTACCGAAGGCATTTCACAATCATGTCAGTATTAAATGTATTTAGTTGCAACACTGTTGTCACAATGTTGCATTGTGTTTACTATCTGGCATGTTCGATTTTCTTTGTTTTTTCCCTTTCCCCTCCTTTTTTTGTATTTCCATGGTATCAGCAATTATATCTTAGACATAGATCTTTCATTTCAGTCTTATAAATATCAGATTCATGCCTTCTTTTATATATGGTCCCTGACATATTTTCCAAAGTTTTTGATGAAAAATATTTATGTGCAACTATAATACTTAAAAAGGAATTAAGATGTTACTGAAATGACTAAGAAACAGATTACGGTCTATATGCAATGTTTTTAGAGGGAAAGTCTTTATTTTCAATGATTGCAGAGATGATTTTTGCTCCTAGACTTCCATAAACATTGACTGGCATCTAAATGTTTAGGAGTTGCCAATCTGGCGGCTGAACCCTGGCTGTACTACAAGTAGTGAGGTCAAGGCTGGAGCAAAATTAGATATGACTTCCTTGAAATAGGGTTAAGATTATATATTGTTATAAGCATTTTGGTGAACTTTACTTACTATCTAAAGGATTTGCAACTGCAGCCTGACTGTAGAACTGGGACACTTTGGTAAATATACCAAAACATTGTTTAATTTTTAGTAGTTTAATACTGGTAGTTTTAATTGTTTAATATCGGTAGTTTTCTTTTTTCCTTCTTGGACTTCCCATAGGGATTCTATATACAATTTTGGTAAAGTATAAATAAGCCTTGCATCAAACTTCAAGTGAAATAAAATTTTTTTAGGTGATCATCTATAAAAAAGTTGTTTCTTTTGTTTTCAGTGCAGTCATATTTTTGTTTCTATTTATCTCTCTAGGATGAATTTCATCCTTTCATCGAAGCACTTCTGCCCCACGTCCGAGCCTTCGCCTACACATGGTTCAACCTGCAGGCCCGAAAACGAAAATACTTCAAAAAACATGAAAAGCGTATGTCAAAAGAAGAAGAGAGAGCCGTGAAGGATGAGTTGCTAAGTGAAAAACCAGAGGTCAAGCAGAAGTGGGCATCTCGACTTCTGGCCAAGTTACGGAAAGATATCCGACCCGAGTACCGAGAGGATTTTGTGCTCACAGTTACAGGGAAAAAGCCTCCGTGTTGTGTTCTTTCCAACCCAGACCAGAAAGGCAAGATGCGAAGAATTGACTGCCTCCGCCAGGCAGATAAAGTCTGGAGGTTGGACCTGGTTATGGTGATTTTATTTAAAGGTATTCCGCTCGAAAGTACTGATGGCGAGCGCCTTGTAAAGTCCCCACAGTGCTCTAATCCAGGGCTCTGTGTCCAGCCCCATCACATAGGGGTTTCTGTTAAGGAACTCGATTTATATTTGGCATACTTTGTGCATGCAGCAGGTAAGTGCGATGGTGAGAAGTCATTCCACTTTCTTGTATGTGTTTCTTTCCTGACGGATCTGTGTATGTGCCGGGCCATTCCTGAATGCCCTACATTTGCAGGCTATGTCCATAGAGACGGTGTGGTTTCAAAGGTGGGCCTAAGTCAGAAGAGCCTCTGTGTCTGAAGTGCCACCTTCATTCAGTGGAAAAGCATAGCTTTGAGAGAAGTCACACTAAGTTGAGTTCTTTTGGCAACCAGTGTTATCAAAGGTGTTGGGTAGTCAGTTATGTGATATGTTTAAATCACATTTTTGATGATGGGTGAGCGAAGCCTCATAAAA